GGCCACGGAGAGGACCTTTGATGACCTTGGTTCACTTTTTCGGGTTTTACTTGTTTCTATGGTACTTTTTGGTGCTGATTTCGAATTTAGCAACCATTTAAATATTTACGAAGTAGTTCTGGTGCCTTCGTACCATGTTACGAAGCTATCAGTAGTAGGTGACACCTACTATGAATGGCCTGCAGGACGCCTAATGGTTGATCTAACCTGACCTGACCCGACCTGGCCTAAATGCATAAAGACATCGTCTGTGATCAAAATTAGCATGAAATTCGTGATCGGCACCCCAAAATACCCCGTAACACCCTAACTATGCGAAGTTTCAAGAGGTCTCGATTTCCCAACTTTAGTTGGGTCATTAAACTGACTTGGAAAGTGAACTAATGGCCTTGAACTTTGAAATTGGATATATTCGGCCTCATTTCGTCATAGGCAGCACGCTTGATTTTTCCGCGAAGCTCTAGCTTGATCAGGGGCCAAACGGCTGAGCCGGGGAACCCCCTATACTATGTTGACTATGCACATTTACAGGTAAAATTCTCACCAGAACACACCAGCCAACATCTGTGCACAATCTGGCTACAATATTACCTATGGTTTGCCCTCTACGAATAAAGACGTGCTAGATCGGAAAAATCCCCACTGTGCACTGGGCCGAAAATATGAGGAGAGTTTCTTCGAATGTCTTTGAATTCTCGTAGCATCTTCCGCTTTCGTTTCTGACACCCAGATGTGTAAGCTCTTTTGCTCGAACGACCACTCATGGTTTCGAAATTATACAATTCAAGGAAATCAACAGAAATTATAGGTTAAAAGGCACTCGCAGCACTCTGAACCCGCGCCAAGTCGGCCGAGTTGACTTACGTGGGCAACAGGGATCAACTCAGTTCTGCTTCCCTCTTTCCATAGCAAGAATAATATTTATGTGTTAACATATAATTTGGTTTTCTCAGTCATATATACTTACGTTATATTTGGCTTAATAAATATTTATTAAATGATATAACTAGGTTATATTATTCGAAGATGATTTTAATCATTGTCATTCAATACATGATCGTTTTGTTAATTTTTAAACCAATGTTGAAAATTACTCTTGTTTTTAAAGTCGACATTTTTTTTAAATACATTGTTTTAGAGTAGTGACACTATATGTTATCCTTTTCGGCACAGGGAATTATCTTGATACCGTCGACCAGGGGTGTAGGAACGTCACGAAAAGTGGGGAGGGGGCAGCCCCCGGCCAGGGAAGCTTTGATGTCACTTTGTGAGAAAACCAATACGTGGGCCGCAGCAGGGTCCTCGTGTGCCGCAGAAGGGCCCATAGGCCGCAGCAACCCCCCCCCCCTACAGCAGGGCCCCGGTGAGCCGTAGCAGGGGGCCCCTTGAGTTGCAGTTTTGTCTCGCGGGCCACAACAGGGTCCTTGCGGGTCGCAGTAGGGCCTCACGCGGTCTGCAGCAGGTTCCCCGCCAGCCACAGTAGGGCCCCGCGGTCTGCAAGACTAGGGGCCCCACGGGCCGCAGAAGGGCCCTGGCGAACCATGGGCCCAAACGTGGCGAGGCAGGGCCTCACGTGCCGAAGCAGGGCACCCTCAAGCTACAGAAGGGCCCCAAGGTCTGTAGAAGGGCCCCCGCGATCCGCAGCAGGGGCCCCCGTGGCCGCAGCAGGGGCTCCCGCGGCCGCAGCAGGGCCCCCGCGGGCTGCAGGGGCCCCGCGAGCCCCAGCAGGGCCCCCCGAGCCGCAGTAGGGCCCGCATTCTACAGCATGGGCCCCCCGAGCCGTAGCAGGGCCCCCCGAGAGCCGCAGCAGGGCCCTCTCAAGCTACAGAAGGGCCCCGCGAGCCGCAACAGGGCCCCGCGAGCCGCAGCGGGGGCCCCCCGTGGCCGCAGCAGGGGCCCCCGTGGCCGCAGCAGGGCCCCGAGAGCCCCAACAGGGGCCCCCGCAGCCGCAGCAGGGGCTCCCGCGGCCGCAGCAGGGCCCCGCGGTGTCTAGCAGGGCCCCAGAGGCGCAGCATGGGCCCCGCATTCTGTAGCAGGGGCCCCCCGAGCCGCAGCAGGGCCCCCGCGAGCCGCAGCGGGCCCCTCGTGGCCGCAGCAGGGGCCCCCGTGGCCGCAGCAGGGCCCCCGAGAGCCCAACAGGGGCCCCCACGGCCGCAGCAGGGCCCCGCGGGCTGCAGCAGGGCCCCCGCGGGCCGCAGCAGGCCCCCGCGGTGTTTAGCAGGGCCCCAGAGGCGCAGCAGGGCCCCCGAATTCTATAGCAGGGGCCCCCGTGGCCGCAGCAGGGACCCCCGTGGCCGCACCAGGGGCCCCGTAGTCGCAGCAGGGCACCCGCGGGTCGCAGCAGGGCCCCCGCGAGCCGCAGAAGGGGCCCCCGCGGGCCGCAGCAGGCCCCCCGCGGTGTCTAGCAGGGCCCCAGAGGCGCAGCAGGGCCCCCGCATTCTGTAGCAGGGGGGGGGGCTCGAGCCGCAGCAGGGCCCCGCGAGGCGCAGCGGGGCCCCCGTGGCAGCAGCAGGGCCCCCGAGAGCCCCAACGGGGGCCCCCGCGAGCCGCAGCAGAGGCCCCCGTGGCCGCAGCTGGGCCCCCGAGAGCCCCAACAGGGGCCCCCACGGCCACAGCAGGGGCTCCCGCGGTCGCAGCAGCAGGGCCCCCGCGAGCCACAGCAGGGCACCGCCTAGTCGAAAAAGTGGTCCGACTAGTCGGAAAAGTCGGACCGGTGTCGACGTCCCTGAGGCAAATTAAAATAGCTGACTGATGGGTAGGCACTTTGTCCTCAAGGGCACTGATACTGAATGTAAACAATGTTCTTGTGACACAACAAGCAAGTTTTCATTACCTTATGAAACTAGTGTCAATTTCAATGTCATTAAAATATTCAATTTTGATGAAAAATACATATTTATCACAAATAAATATCATGGGTGATCATGGGCAAGTGCGCCACAAATGACATAAACCCTCCAATATTGTCGAATCAAGCTTAAATTCAAGTCACAACAGCTTCACGACAGGCAAACTACAAGATAATAATCCCTTTGCTACTGTGCAACAAATTTAAGGTAGCCACACCAACCAAAAATGCATCACAAATCACCTAAACCACTCACCAAGGACAAAACTGTCATGGCGGCGTCCGCTGCTCGAGAAGAGTCGCCGGCGACTGGCCTGTGACGCGGATCTGACGTCACCAGTTGCTGGCGATTGCCCGGCCGTGGCCCGGCGATCGCCAGCGACTTGCTTACGTCATACCTACGTCACACACGATCGTTGGCTGGCGGTCGCTGGCGGTCGCCGGCGACTGCTGCTGTCGCCGGCGACTGAAAAGTTGCTACGTGTGAAAGGGCCATTAGATGACTGGCGCAGCCACGGTGCACCCGTTAGTTTGACAGTGTTTTCTCTCCATGTGTGCGATGCAAATGCTGATTGAACACAATGCGGTGCCGTTAGTTCTTGCCATTACACTTTCTGATTTGTTTCCATCAAATGCAGAGACCAGTCGCCACTCGCCTAATATGTACAGTGTCTTCTGCATGTATACATTGTGAACCGACGCTCGGTCGGCGGAATTTGCATGCTGGCTGTTTTACCGGGACGAGCCGATGTCCGTTCTCCGGCTCGGACCGCCGCTCGTGAATCATGCACGGGCCGATCGCAGGGGCCGGTTTGGCAGCGCCCGGCAGCCCGGCGCCACGTCGGCGGTGGCGAGACGAGGTCCACGCCTGTCGCCACCGATCTGAGGGTGATTTTCGCTTTTGTCGCCACCGCCGTGCAGGGGAGAGGCGGCCGTAGTCTGGCGAGGGTCCACGTGCCGGGCCGGGTCGCTGGTCGCTGCCCGCCGAGCACCGTTCTGAACTCAGTTGGCGGTGACGCCACGGCTTCCGTGGTCAGCTATTTGTCTACCGGTCGGGACGGACAGGGCTTGGGGAGATGTAGATGGACCCGGCCGGACAGCACCTGAGTCGGTGAGCCTGTCCGTTATGGTCACTGTGGCGCCGATGGTGCCGACTTTGGGCAGCGGACCGAACACCGTTATGGCACCGGCCCGAGCTAGGCAGTACCGGTGTTGCCGATCCGAGTCGAGAGATCTCGTCTGTTAGGGTATTTGTTATACCTCAGCGGAGGCGATTATACGGTCGCGCGGACCGCTGCCGCTGCGTCCCGCTGAATTACAAACAGCGACTGGGGAAATGTCGGGTGACGGTGCGGTGCACGTTTTCCCCAGACATGCACGACGACCGTGAGTCAGAGAGCGGTAACATGACTCGTGATCTCGGGATGTTTCCTAGGTGAGGTAAGGTTGGGCGCCGCTGCTGCCACCTAGTACAGACCCTGCCAACTACCCAGAGCTGTCTGTTCCCGCCCCGTCTGGCTGCCTGTGTTTGTAAGGGGCGGGCAGGTCCGTCGCCGATCTGATGCAACGAACGCCGTGGCCTTGTGGACCGCTGGCCGGCCCCAGACGGCCGAGTTGCAATGCAAACTGTCCTCGTTCTGAGCCGGCGGGCTGATCGTCGCCCCGTCTGCTCATGTCTGTCGGTCTGTCTGAGTATCTCGACTCAAGATTGAGCTGATCCAGAAGCTGACCAAACAACGAATTGTCGGTCATGTCGCCTTAGCTTAGCTCTGAGCCTGGAGGAGGCGATACGCTGCTGATATTGCTGCGCTTACATGACCGGCCGTCACCTTGAACCGATTGGCCCTCTTCTTTGGCCTGTGGGCGTGACAGACGGCAAATAACGGCCGTACGACAGCGGCGCCCGTGTGTGTACCGTGCCTGACGCCGGCGTGAGTTTTTGTCACTGTTTACACCCACAGATCTCAGATACTGCTGAGAAGCTGTAGAGTATGCGACACATGTCTAGTTTTCTCCGTAATGTATCGGCGTCTGTGTTTGTAGCTGCTGAGATCTGTTTTATGTGAATCTCTCAACTCGCCCGTCTCTGTAGGATGCCTTCTTCCTGTGATCGCGGAACGATACTGACGGCATGCTCTTCTTCTTTCCCTAGGTGAAGCAGCAGGCTGTGCCGGGAATCGACAACTCGTTCCTCGCCATGGACACCGAGAACGGCGTCGAGGTGGTGTGGAATGAGGTCAGTGCGCGCCGGGTCAGGTCAGGTCACGCGGTGGCATCCAGCTATTGATCTGCTCAAGTCTCTGGGAAGCTCCAGGGAGCAGTTTTTCTATTAGCGCTGTCTGAGTCATTGTGGAAAGGAGTAGGTAATTTTCTGAATTAAACTCAGGATTTGGTAGTTCCCGGCTGGCTGATCTCGATGCCTGCCGTCGACGGAAAGGTCCGGCTTTAGATATGAAAGCGCATTAATCAAATTGAAGCAACGTCTTTATCGAAATGAAGCGGGACGCCCTGGATTAGTGGGAAAATACCCCTTGGCGGAATCATGATTTCATCAACTGTAATAAATGAGTAGCTTGGGAACGTGCAGTCCCGATAAACATCACGGCTGTGTTATCGGAGACAGACTGTTATGCACACCATCCGTTGTGAGTCGTCTGACGCCGCGGCTGGTGTGAACGATGTCCTTCGACGGCAGAGGTGAATAGGGGACGGGGTGCGTGACTATGCACGTTGGTGTGAGCGCTGCTGCAGCGGCTGACGCAGGATGAAGGACACGGCGCAGTACACGAGCTGTGGCGGTGGTGGAGAGCCGAACTGGCCTCGACGAGATGGGGCTGAGGGCTGCACGGTCGGGGAGGGGGAAGCACGCGATACGAGGATGATGAAATGGGAAAGAGTGCGTTGCTGATGTAGTTCAGGATCAGCGTTTTATTGCGCGTATTGAGGTCGTGATACACCTTGTGTCGCTCGCTGACAACTATAAAGATATTTGTAATGCAAAATAGAATGAGATTTAAATGGGCAATAAAATGGGTACCCGTACCCGCGCTTATGAAGATTTATGCAATGTTTTTAATGTCAAGTCTGAAAGCCGAGAACGAAAGTTGTTCCTTTGAAGCGCGAAGCCGCTATCTATGATATCCATCACGTTGATGGCTATCTCATCCATCAGCATCACGTCATGGTCGCTACTCCGCGGTGGTTTCGCGCTCGACTGCAGTGATACATCGCTGACCGCTTGCCGCTCATCTGACGGAGACCGGCCAACGTCACCCCGTAAATCCCTGGGCGACCGCATGGCGCCGCGCCGCCGTCACCCCGCCATCGAGACTCACATCTCTGGCATTTCCCACTGGGTTTGTGGTTCTGCACAGTCGCGAGCTGGCATGGCGCTCGTCATACCCCGCTGGAGAGATGTTTGGCCTCGTGTTTGGTCCAGAGGTCGTCTGAGAGATTGTGGCTGTGTCCGACAACACGAGATTTGAGTCGGGTGGCGCCAGGCTGTCCGGCAAACCAACAACCCTACCAGGCGGCCAAACGCGCGAGCGCAGAAAGATGGGATCTGCGAGGGCCGCCCGACCGGCGCCGCCGTTAATTTGCCGCAGAATGGCGCCCGCTGAGAACTAAGACGTGCTGACAATCGATTGGAAGCTGTGTAAAGCCCCACGTTCGCAGACGGGACCGGCTGGCAACGGTCTTGATTCGGCGAACGGCTTTGCTGTGGCCAGATTAAGGTCGGAGCGCCTGGTCGGCCCCTGGGAACACGGCTGAGGTCAAGAAACCCTTCCCAGAGTGCCTGTGGCAGTGGTGGCTCGGTACGGGGATCTGGATGATCCGGGTCTGCCGCGGCTCGGTGGAAGTCAGCTTTTTAGGATGATAGTCCAGCTAGTTAGGTCTAACTAAGCCGGTAAGAAGGATGTTCGGACTTTGGCCATCATCCTATTAGGTGAGGATGTTTGAGTGAAGTGCCAATGGTTTTAGGTTATTTTTTTTATAGGTGGTTATCATAAACTATATAGACCTGCTGAATAGTTCGTTCATGTTGAGCATATTTGTAGGATTCATCATTACATTTGTCGGCCTGATTACGGCGTTAGCTGTGCCGGCTGTGTTTTATCAATGCCACAAGAATGAATGTCCCATAATGTCAAATCAATGTCACTTTTGACTGCAGCGACCTGCTAAATTCATCCTGAGGCCTCTTGCACCAAAATCCTCTTGCACCAATGCTTGGATTATTTTGCATCGTATACCCAGTCCAAGTCTCAAATGTAACAATTAATGTGCAAAATTTAGCAAGCACAGGTAGGATTATGTATTGGGCTATTGCAAACAAATTTACCAGCGTTAGATTAGCTTATTCTGAAACCGGTTTTTCGATTTTACCGAGCTAGGTAGTTTGGTGCAAGAGGCCTCTGGTCCGCTCCGAGTTTGGACCGTAGGCCAGTGAACGCTATGGCGCTGGCGTGCCTCCCAACCTGACCGTTGAGCTTGGCCGCCGTGGCGACGCCAGTTTTCACATTGAAAAACGATGGTCCGTTGCGTAAGCCGTCCGGCCGAAAATTCCGCGGTGCCACGCGACATGGCCCGCTGGCGACCTCTGCGACAGCACAGCCCAAAGGAGTGACAGGAGTGGCGACCCGCCTAGGCGACAGGGGCTCGACAGGGGCGCGACACTCAGTGACCCGCTCAGGCGATCGACAGAGGGTCAGGTGCGGCCGCGTCCCGTCCTGCGGCGCACCGGTCCCGGATCTGTCACGTTAGCCTCGAGCCGCGCTCCGAGAAACGGACCATTGTTCCCTGAGCGGTCCGTTAGCGGCGCCGTACTGTACCGGGGCGCGGCGCAGTACAGTTTTGGTGCATCTGGCCCAAAAATACAGTACGACACAGTGTTACAATACGGCACAGTATCACAGCACTGCACGCTATCACAGTGCGTCCGGCCACGCCATGCCGTCAATGAACTCTTCGTGGAGCTGGGGCGGTCTGAGGTGTTTGAGGGCCGTCATGTTCGTTGAGGCTGGGATGGATGTCAGGATTTGGTAGCTGAAAGCCATGTGGGAGGACAGTTGGATAATGGGGTGCATCCGGAATCGGCGTGAGTTACCGGGGGGCTGGCTGACTGGAGTTGATTGACAAGCTGTACGATGAGCTAACATTGGATCCAAGTGAACCAAATGCGTCTCGGATCTGTTGGTTTCCGAGCCGGAGGCTGGGGACTTGGGAGTCGTATCGCCGCGTTTCCTGTCGGCTCGGGCCGTTATTGGGAGCAGCTCTGGGCGATATTGCCGGTTCTGATATCGTTTCGATGGCCTTTTACGTCCCCCGGCCATCGGGCGCATCCATATTTCATGTCCTTGGGGCTGAGCCATCTCCTTTATTGGCGGCGGTGGTGAACACGGCGCGCGGAGCTCGGGGGGGGGGGGCACTCCTGTCTGATCGGCGGGGGGGGGGGGGCGCCGCGGCGCCCGTCAGGTCTGTGACGTCACCAAAGACTGATACGGTGCAGAGTTCCGAGAACCGTGCCGTGTCGGCCGACCGCCTCGTGCATCGCGCAAGTCACCGCCTGCCACTCCTACATCCCGCGATGTCTGGGGCACCGTAATGGGGTAACACGCCGACAACGGTCAAGCAAAATTCAAAAGGATGAGTGGAACTTTGCCTGTGTAAGTGTGGACTGACCTAGTGGAGTCTCCTGATCATTTCCCCGAGGAATTTAAATTAACCTAATGGCCTCATCCCTTAGGAACAGCTCCCAGGATCTGCCGGCCTCGAGCTGCGCCGTTCTGGAGAAGACGGGCACCCCCTAGGAGTGGCCACTGATCTCATTATGCCGAGTTGTTGCGCCGGCTCACCGGCCTTCTCAGAACGTCTGTGGATACGTGCGATGAATGATAACGCGATCCTGTGAAGGTCGTTATGCTGGCCTTTTGGGCTGCGGAGTGTAGTGCAAATGGGATGTGAAGGGCATGGGAAAAGGTTGTGTGGCATCTCATATTGCGCTCATTTGTATTCTGTTTGCCGATGCAGGGAACTATTAGTTTAGGGGCTGTTGAACAACAGGCTTACTGTTTTATCACTACCATACATATTCTCTACTTGCTTCTGGGGTTTCTGGTGCACCAGTAGCACGTAGCGAATACCACGTCTTGTTTTCTTGGTGCAGTCGCTACTCCTGCCGTTTCATCCAGTTTCATCTGTAGACGTTGGATATTAACACATCTCTCTATGTCAACAGGTTCGGTTCTCGGAGAACAAGAACCGCAAGAAGTACATGGCGCGCATCTCGGCCATCTTCGACAGCCTTCAGTCCATCGACCACCCCAACATCGTCGGCTTCCACAAGTACTGGTTCGACCAGCCAGACAAGAGCGACAAGCCTCGGGTAAGTCAGGGACGAGTTCGGGGATGTGGACGTGAATAGAGATGCAACAAGAGCAACAAGCCTCCTGTAAGTGTTATGGACACTGGGAGGCTGATGGATTAGAGAGAGGTTTGATAACTAGCGACATGCTTTTAAAGAGTGAGGAACGAGCTCTGGGACGAGGAGAAGGGAGGTGCCTGACCCATTCGACGTCGTGCAGGGAGAGTTGGTTCTCCCCGGGATAGGGTGGCTGAGATTCCATGGAAGATACGCCCGGTTAGCTACGTGACGGTTGATGATGTGATCCTCCGCGAAAGGCTGCGGCATGGTTCGATTTCTGGGTAGGCGGCCCGACTGGACGGTGGAGCCGGCTCGTCGATATGCGGCGGGCTTGCGTGATGCAAGATCGTGCGCCTGCATTTTGTGGAAGTGGTAAGCATATGGGCGTTTAGTGGCGGGCGGATGGCCTTCCTGCGGTCAGATGTGGCGCCGGCCAGTCGTCTGCCCGAGGCTGGCCAATCTACCCGCGACGGCCGCGGTGGTTCAGAGGCTTTGTAACGCCGGGCTGGTTCGAGCTTTGACGTCGCCTTCACTTTGCGACGCACGTGTCTCGGGGCGTGCTGCTAGGCTCACGCGCTCTGGAGCGTTACGCCATTGCTAAGTGGTGGAGGCGGCGGCGAAAGCACAGCAATGGTTCCGCAGCCCGTGGCATTCATGGGTCTGTTTGCAGACGACACGGGCCGACGATCTCCTGCGCGACTGCCACAAATGTAGGGTTTTCGTGAATGTGACCTCGCGGTACCGTGTCGGACACTGTGTAGTCAGGGAACGTCGCTGAACTTTTCACCAAGCACGCTGGTTATGTTGTTTTCCCAAGCGAAGCGCAGCAAACTTGTGGCAAGAAATGGGACGAGCGGCAGCCCTTGGACTTTCTTCATAATGTGGCGTGTGTTTGCCGCACGCTGCTGTTACCTGTCTGACGGTATCTACGCCACCCCACGAAGCCTCCATCGTCCTCCCCTGGCGACAGTGGGGCCCATCCCAGGAAATGGTCCCACACACTGCTACCGAGAACGTGTCACGTGCTAGCGCGTGACCCGGCATCCGGAGAGGTTCGCGGAGTCTGCGAACACACCCCTGTATGGGACCTCGGGAACCTGGCCGCTGAAGTTGCTGTATTCATCTTCGGGACTTGATAATACCCTGGGGCGGTTGCTGTTTGAGATAGTGCGCTGGGCTATCTCTGGCTCCTGGCGGTGCCCCCGGCTGGTGCCCGGGTTAGATTAAACCGTCCGCCGGGGCGCGGGGAGCGGCATCCTGTTATTGATCGGCAGGGTCGGGTGGACGGGTTCTGTCCGGTTCGACCGCGATCACCGATCACCACGGTGCGTTCTGCGTGTGACAGAGCCGGGCCGCTGCGTTGGAGGGATGTTTGCCGACGCGGCGGGCTCATGTGTTCCCCGGCGGCCCTGTTGGTACGGTCGGTGACCTGGATTGGACGGCCGTATCTCTGGGGCGCACCGCCGGCCGCCGACAGCGGAGTCGGCACGCGAGGCCCGTTTGTCTCCGCCTCCGCTGAGCGAAGGGACAGCTCTGCGACAGGCTCTGGTTAGGGAGGTTCGTTAAACCGGTCCAGGCTGGGTGGACCGGTTCAACGAACCTCCAGGCTGGGTGGCACCGGTCCAGGCTGGGTGGTGGCACAAGTCGCACAAACTCCTTTCACTCTCATGCCGAGGAGGACGTCTGCCTGTGACGAGGAAACCGGGACCTAAAAGTGCATTCAGGTGTGATATTACATAACATTATAAATGAGCGGCTAAAAGTTGGCGGGCTAATGTAGGTTTATGTAACTAACAGCGTAGTTGCTGTTCAGATATGCCGGTTTCTCGTTCGGTGTATCTCGGACGACAAGTTCGCACTACCACTGGTCTGCATATGGTCCCGTATCGGTGCCAGTCCCGCTCCCTGCAAGCCGAGCCGTCTGTATACTCTCAATGCACTGCGACATATGGTCTGGGCGTTTCTGTTTATTGTGTGTCTGTCTGCCGGTGGAGTGCAGGGTATATTGGTGGAGTGGACAGAGGTGTTATAAGATGGCTTCTGATCGGTGACCTCTCGCCGCCCCCGGCCCCGCCCTAGCCTCTCTGCCGCCTATCCTCTGCCGACCCCTCCTCCGACCCCGTCCCGCCGGCTGTCTAGACTGACGATCACGCCCGCTGGCGCCCACGGCTGGCCTGCAGACCGTGTGGTCGATTGGCTGCGATGGTGTTTGTCGATGCTCGGGGCACTGAGTAAATGAGCACACCGCGTCTAGTTACACAGACCGGGTGACGTGTGATGAGCTGCCTCATGGGACGGGACGGGTACTTGATCGGCACTTCAACTTTGATCCTGTCCGATGGGGCTTGATTCGGGAGCGTCCACGGTGATTACCACTGATAACGTAAACCACTGTCTGTCAACTAGTTAGACTGCACCCCAGTCATCTACTGACCTATTATAGATAGGATCGACCGGTGACCCCTGCACATAAAGACGGCTTTGAATGTCTACCTACCTCACGCGAGTCAGCGCGTTGCTACCGAACATTCCCTGACAGATAGCGGCTGGCAGAGAGGTGGCACGGTGACCTTTCACGAACCGCGTCCGTGTCTCGGCTAACCTCTGACCCCTTGTGCCCGCCGGCGTTTGACCTGTGACGTCACCTCAGAGGGGTGACTGGGTGACGTCTGTTCCACCTACAGCGATACCGAAGTTAGCTCTCAGTGCTGTGCAGTGTGCATATCACCCTAACTAGTGACGTCATCATTTGTAGGACGAAACGCTTGAAACGGGAGTGATTTGTTGATTAGCAGTGGCTGTTTCGAACATATCGTGGCTCATGTCTTGTTTAGTCAACCTGAACTGAATTGGTTGAATCAGCAGCTTTCTCGAGAAGATGTCTACAAACGACACGCTAAATGTGATTACAGTATTCGTGTTAAGTGTCACCAATGTTGTTATAGCCACTGCTACTGCGATGGCACAATTCCAGGGGCAACATTGTGAAAATGAGATGTGGGCCGCTTCGAATTGTCGCGCCGAGCTGGTGTATAAACAGGGCTATAAATAGTTCTCCCCAAATTGCGCCGTGCATTATGCTAACCGTATAATGGGCCTTACCCACTTGAGATGTTCGTCCCAAGTGCCGAACAACTTGCGACAGATCTCTTGACGTCACAAAATGCAAATACGAACGTGACGTCACATTTTACCGGGTCAGATTTGCGTTGGAGTGGGTACATGTAACGTCAAAAAAGTTTCAAAAAGAATGGATATAACGTCACTGAGTGCGTTGTTGACGCGATAGAACGGAGTCGTATCCTGCAACGTCAGCGAGATGTCAGTTTTCCCGCCACAGGTGTTTTCGCAGCCGGAGACGACCGGTCTGTGACGTCAACGGGATGCCACGCCCTGTCTCGCAGTCGCGTGACGTGACGCTGTTGTGTGACGTGGTATGATGTGGTTTGACGTTCGGCGCTGACAGTGACACCGACAGGGAGGGACCGGCCGGGTTATGGGAGATTTGATGGGTGGTGGATGGGGTGTCCGGGAGCGTTTGACCCGGAACAGTGGCACGACACGACGGCACTCTGAAATGAACGATGGTCGTTCTTGTGGCCTGGATGTGGGACTATTCCGCGCCGCGATCCGACAGTCGGACTCGGCTAGCGGCCCATTGGGGTCAGCCAGCTCGGGCCCAATGCCTTCCTCAATTCGTGAATGTCAGTCGCAGCGAGCGGGGATAGTCCAGCGCCGTGGTCTGGGTTTTATTCCGGAGATTTAACCTTCGTCCTAGGCCGCTGGTAATTTATCAGCGAGAGAGAGCGTTCAATGGTGCACGGCCAGTCTGTGATTGCTGCGGGGAAAGAAATGACTGGACCCGATTCCGAAGGCAGTCTTTCTGGTGCGACCAAACCCAATCCAGGGGCGTGGAAGTGACCCTGAAGTGGGCGCCTGAGCATGTCGAGAAATTCTATATTTATTGTCTTTTGTTTTGGGTGTCTGTGACAGGCATTACACGGAAACTATAACGTCAGGCTGTTTTTTCGTTGGTACGATCATCTGTAAGAGTCGGGTAATCTCCACATAATATGTCCGTTCCTGTTCCATTCACTGCGTTCAGACCATTCATTTCACTGTTCATTCGAGTGTTGCCAGTGCGTATTTCATTCATTCGTTCATTCATTGATATCTGCGCCATGTTCTATCGTGTCAGCGCCGGCAGTATGTGGATTTTAAGTGACAGCGCCTGAGCCGCCAATATCTGTTCCTTCGCTTCCAATATCTGTTCCTCCGTAGTCTCCCCTCCCCAGCTGGCCGGCTATAAATCCTTCCTGGTATCACTACGTCGCGCGGTGACCTGGCAGGCGCTGTCCCCGGATATTGTTCGACTGAAACGGCCGCTCGGATATTTCGGGTCGGTCTCCCGCAGACGACAGACCCCTCGCCGTCCGTCGGATGACCCGTCTGACCCTAGCGCGGGGGTCGGTCGGCCCGGCGGCTACTGGCCTGGTTGGACCTCTCGCTCGAACAGCGTCGCCCCGGGCGGAAGAAAGCCTCGACTGGTCGTGTGTGACCCACCCCCTCAGTCTCTCTCTCCAGTGCCCCCTGTTGCCGCTGCTGCTCTTTGGGTGACCGGGCCCTGCGGTCAGCGGGGTCAGTGAATTAGGAGCGGTCGCCAGTTGGTCTGATGAGGTCCCCAGAAGGCGATTTAGTTGTCCGTCGGGCTGAATTTGTGCCGGTGGTGACCGGTCGTCGGACGGAGGACGGTTCAATTCACGGCCTCGGTGGACTGGGTGTGGCTCGTACGGCATTGATCTAGGCATGGCTGTTAGGTTGGAACTGTTTGTTGTTGTTTTACAGAGTATGACGAACGTCTAACCGAAGACTCTGCTTCTGAAAGTTAGCACTTTGAAGCTCGCCTGATGAGGTTTTTACGGCTTTGCTGACGTCACTAAGCTGTTGTTTATTTCCGATGCATCGATCACTCGCTCTCAAACTTTTACAAGCTTCCTCGTCATTATTCTTCCACACCACGCGACTATCCACAAACCTCCAATTCCATCCTCAGAGGGAGTCTGAAAGCCTCCTGACCTGGCCCCATCGAGCTCTCTGCAAATCATCCCCGTCTGCCCCGCGTGACCCTGGGGGCCGCCCTGTTCTCTACGACCTGTCTGGGCCCCATTGGTGACTGATGGCGCCACAGAGCCTTGATGAGACTGCTAAGTGACGAACACGGTCTAAGGCGTGTCGGGTCGTTACTGAGGCCCTCACAGAGGGACCTCTCTCCACGCTAGGGACAGGGAGGGACGGACTCGGTCACCCCTTGTTGGTAGCTCATCAGCCTTTGCAATGTATCACTGCGCGCCGGCATGGTTTATATGTATCAACATTCTCAGTCGAAAAGGGTCGTGTGACGTACTTAATGCGACCATTTGATGACGATTGAACCGTAATCGATAACAGATAATCCGCCGGCTCGGTCCCAATGTCGGAATTAGTAGAACGCGTGCCTGTCGCGTCTGAGGAGATGGAGCGTCCACATCGTGTCATCTCTGTATGTGTACGATAGACTGAGGATTTGATGAGGCTCGCCGGCCACCAGAGGCGTTTTTCGTGGACCGTCTAATATCTGTGCGTCGCGCCTCGTTCGTGCTCCATCGACCGGGCCGATATGGGCCGGCGCGCAGTTGACACGACCTCTGACCTATCCCCCGGGGCAAACAGTATACAGAGCGGCACGCGGTGCGGTCGTGCGACGCAGGTGCCCGATGAGGCCGTGCTAGTTCATCGAACTCGGCATGAGAACGCCGAGCGTCTGGTTGGGTCTATTATAGCCTTACGTCGGCTCCATGATAAGGCTGAGGTCGGCGGAGCGATTCCGGGTGTGATGTGACATCGGGCGATTTGTGTGTCCAGCGGCGGTGGGCGCGTCTGTTGGTGTTGGCCCGACCCGGCCCGGCCGGCCAGTGACACGTGCCGCCCCAACACGCCGCGCCGCAGGTAGCGATTGATGGCCAGACGGGTGCCCTGTGACACACCGAGGCGCAGGTCGGTCCGGCCAGCGACCAGTGGAAGGGAGTGCCGCCCGTCCAGCCGCGCCCTTAACTGCTCTGCAGGAGAAGGAGGGGAGGATGGACCGCCGGACTGGCCACCTAAGCGGTTCCGCATTGCAGAGCCGACGGCGCGCCGCCCACCCAGTTCGCTGACAGTGGGAAAGGGCGGGGGAGTATGTTGAACGGAGGAGCTGAACGCAAAGGGAAGAGAATGGGGTGGCGCTTAATGACTGAAATGTTATTGTATAGATAACAGTAGAACAGTTCTACTTAGATAGATAACAGTTCTACTGTTATCTATGATTATTATAAATGTTATTGTTATGTGGTATGTTGTTGCTGTTATCCGTGTGGTCGGCCATTTCTCAGGGATGTGGCTCGTCTGTTATTTGTTTTTAATAATTTTTCTGGAATGCTTCTTATTTTAAAATTTAATTCAGCAACGTGTTTGGCTTACGGTAGAATTACATCATGCAGCTTCATGGATGAGTTTATACCAAACTGTCTGGTCGCTATCTGTGTCTCTTTTGCCCGCACTGTCAGACATTGTCTTCTACTGGCCCGCGGGTTTTCGATAGGGGGGGACGGGGACCGAAAATCGAAAATCCCAAAAGTAGATACTGATCGTGTATGCAAAAAAAAAAAAAAAACGCGGCACGTAACGCCGCGAAACTTGGCAAGGCCCAAAACACATCGAATGGTGCATCCCGTTTCCAAACTTATCCTAGGACACCTAATATCGATCACCTTTTCAAGCATCCTTGCCTCTAAATCAAAATTTGCAGTCTTGCCAACTCAAAGCTGGTTTCCTTCAAGCTGCGAATTGCTTAGGTATGAGTAGCAGTGCCAGCTATTCTTACGTTTCGTACTTTCAAATTTTCGATCTTATGTCTGGTCAGCTTCAGGGCTTCACCATCATATAGTCATGGAGGAAAAGTTGGAATGTCTTCTGCTCTGACAAGTGCGCCAAAACTGCAATATAATTTCAGAATCATGACATCACCACCTGATCCATATGCAACGGGCAGGGTGCAGCTAATGGCTAGCCGTCAGTGGTCATGTCATCGGTGGTCACTCAAAAGGCCATGCTAGGTCATGGAAGGTCACCAGCCGTTATTTGATCACACTTTCTGATGGATTTTACTTGCCAAGAGCTTCGCGGGAAAAACGAGCGCATGCACCGTTGAAAAAATTGAGTGAAAGGGTCTCAGGTCCGGCGACCTCTGCGGTGAAATGCCCCAGGGTAGGATTCCGGTCCTTGTTGATTAACTTCGTCAAAAATGGCAGTAGAGCTGTGATGTCGGCACCATTGTGTTCGTCATGATCGAGCTGGCACGACCTGCATCGTTCTCATATTCACCCTCCAATCGTAACAACTACAGCAGGGATTGGCAAATGGCGGGGCACCCCCTTTGGGAGGTAATGGTCTCTGGAAACCTCATCCCACATCTCTTTAGCATTAGTGGCTCTCCTTATGGAACAGGTTTCTTGACTGGTCTGTTTCACCCCAGAATTCAAAGACTAGTCAAGGTAAAACCGAGCGCACCACAGTGAGCACAATTTGATAAGCTGGTGTACCTATCTCAATTTTCATGTAGAACCTTTCACGTATCACGGACCTTAAACCCTTTCGTGCACTCATGCAAAAGCAACTGCCATGTTTCAACAGCTGGTAATGGCATTTTCACAGCCGCTGACGTAAGAAGGGGAGGGATGGGGGCTCGATTAGACCCCCAGCCGTTCGGCCGCCGACCGAACTTAGTTTTGCAGAAAAAAAAAAACGAGTGCTATCGAACCCCTTGACGAGAGGGAGCCGATGCTATATCCAATTATAAGGTCTTGGGCTACTGCGTGCTTTTTTGGTCCTGCCTGTGATCTATCCGAACACTTCTCCCCACAAGTGCTGGGGTTAAATGGCATATATTTCAAATGGTTCCTGTGGTAGAACTGCCATGCTTGAATTTGACTAATTAGGAATGGAAAATTTTCATATAGTAACGGAAATCTATGGAATTTCAGTGAACTTGGTTTTATCGGCAATGGGGTCTGGCAGTGGGGTGGGGAGGTAATAAGTAATAACCCTGCCTGGCGCCCCAAAAAGGGGGCACGATCCCCGAGGCCCTGCCGATCACCTTATAACTACAGGCATCACAGCTCCACACCTTTTGCAGATGGCCAGGACCCCCTGCGATGCATCCCAACAGCAATCTTTATTCAGAACCTGCCTTGATTAACCAACGATGCATTAAATGCCCCGGATAGCTCTATAATGCATTATTATCAACTATTGAACGGGCCTCGCCGATAGGGGGGTACTGTACCCCCCTAACTTTCGATAGCGGGGGACCTGTCCCCCCCGTCCCCCCCGGTGGCGCCGCCCATGCTACTGGGCCTTTAGCTAACCGTCCTCTCCCCGTTTTCAGGTCAACTTCATCACCGAGTACATGTCGTCCGGCTCGATGAAACACTTCCTGAAGCGGACGCGCGTCTCCAAGAAGAAGATGGCGATCGACTCTTGGCGTCGCTGGTGTCGCCAGGTGTTGTGGGCGCTCAGGTAAGAAGGACGCCGCGAGGCAGGCGCCCGGCGTGGCCGGGGCGCCCCTAGGGGCGTCGGGGGGGGGGGGTGTTCGCCGCGTGCGCCCTCTGATCTCCTGTTCAGGCAGGTGGGGTGTTCGTGTCCCAACCGCCGCTCGGGAAGCCGAGAGAAGACGAGCAAGAGCTGAGGATGTGGCCGGCCAAGCGGCGGGAGAAGCGCTGACCGCTCGCCGGCACCGCGAACAGGACGAAGGTCGGGCGAAGACGAGCCGAAGAGACGGAGCTGCTCGCTGCGCGGCGCGCCGCCGCGGCCCGGCCGAGCCGGCGTCGCGGGTCGCGCGCCCCTGTGACACCACCTGGCCTCTGTTTCAGTTACTTCCATTCGAGCTCGCCGCCCATCATTCACGGCAACCTTACCTGTGATTCAATGTTCATTCAACACAACGGCCTGCTGAAGATCGCTTCAGGTACAGTGCCCGTTCGGGGGTGCGCGGGCGCCGGCGCACGCGCGCGGCCGGCCACCGGCGCCGCGCCCGTGCGCCGCGTGTCCCGCCGGGGAGCCTAGTGATAAGGTGTCTCTGGCCGGAGGCCCGCGGGCCCGGCGCGCGCCACGCGCAGACGCTGACCGGCCGTCTGTGTTACAGCGGCTCCCGATGTCATCCACCAGCACGTGAAGACCGTGCAGCCCGGCCAGCTGCTCAAGAACGCCCACTTCGTGGCGCCCGAGGAGGTGACGCGGACGGCCGGTGAGTCGGGGAGGGGGTCTAGACAACCAGTCCAATCGGCAATCGGTATGGATGGCAGGTAAGGTGGGCGGTGGCTGAGAAAAATGGGCAAATTGGTACAGAAGAGATTATTTTGGGCTCTGGAGACTGGTTTCAGTAGAAAAGAACAGCACACTGGCTGTCGCGAGAAGTTTGTTATGCATTACCGCCTGAGGGAACTCAGAACTGGCATCCCTCTGGTGTCTCATTTCCGACGGTTCAACTAATTAAAGAGAGTGAGCTCTGATCTTCGGCACCGAAATGGCCTCGAGCTTAGTCGGCTTGTGGAGACACGATCGAACAACGCGGAAGCGGTATTGTAGAACATGGGTCAGGAATGACCGCCATGCGTCGAGGCTGCCCTACTGGGCGTGACGGGTGTGCGGCTGGGAGAGGTCGAATATCGCGGGTTTCGCCGGAAATGACTCACTGATTCAGGAAGTCTATTCATGACGATCTAGTCTTTTGGTACGTGGGAAATTTAGATATCGCTCTGGAAAAAAGTGCTGGAAGTGGATGTGTTTTATCGCGCTCAAATAGACCTTCTGATGGGCAATCAAACGGTGCATGGTTTAATGGCGTCTGGTCCGAAATGGAGCACTAAGCTGGAGACAGCTTCCCTGACCTTAGCTAATGGGGCGGAATATCGAACCAACACCGTGCATATTTAATAGTTCGTGGAGCTGGGCTCTGATTAAGAGGTCTAGACAGAAGAAAGTTAGAGCTGCTATCAGTCACGCATCAGTTAATGCCTCCATGTAACAGCGAAGCGGCCCTACCCAAATCGGTCCAGCACTATTCGTTGCCGTTTTCTATTTATGCCGCAAGAAAAAAAAACTTAAGCCGAAAATATGCGCAAAATGTTATCAGAAGACCAGTGCAAAGCTCATGTTTGACATATTTTCCCGATGAGCTCCGATTCGGTACTATTACATCATACATTCAAAGATGCAAAAAATTATCAGTTCCTGCCCGTCCTGGAGCTTAAAGCCTCAATCAGGAACCCGTCACCGCCGTTGGAATGGAGCGACTTTCCTGGAACGGAGCACGTGGTGCGAGTCTCGACAGTGGCCGTCCGGGTTCAGGACCTACCTTTTTTGCCGGCGCCGACAGCCAGTGTCACGAACAGGGCTCTATTTAGCCGGCACGGAATCGGCGGGTCGATCCGAAGACGGCCGTAAAAACTGCTGTCCCGCATACCAGCCGCAGTCACGAATGTCACAGGCTCAGGGGGGACGGGGGGGGGGCACTCCCGGATGTTTGGTGCGCGCGTCCCCGTCTGTCGACCGGGTGACGATGGAGTCCCACACAGGTCGGGCTGTGGTCAGAGTGACCCCCTGGCCACTGAGGGGCACCGTGGGGCAGTGGGCGGCACCCCAAACAAAGCCTTCCAGCAGTCTCCCCTCCTCCTCCCCCCCCCCCCAACAACAACAACAGCGCCCCTGGGTGGGATGTTTGAGAAGTGCGCAGGAGTGCAGGGGGTAACGGGCGGCGATGCGGCCAACTGGCGTGGACGATTTTCGAGAACACACGCTACCGAGAAATGACGTGATAGATTTGTGATGCATCAATCATGTAATCGGCTGGTATGTGTCGTTGAATGTTGTTTGGCTTGTCGTGAGCTGCATGCCTGCGACTGGTCAGAGTTCGAAGACTTCTGAAAGTCACGTCATCCAAGCCATACCCAAGCATTCGTAGTACCCGTCTTGCGAGCTTTGTAATTTCCCAGCGACATTTTGCCGTGCGTGAATCGTGATTCTTACGCCTAATCACATACTATGTTCGGTTTAACGAGCACGGTATTTTATCATCGCTGGATTTTCCGCCGCCAATGCGAACCGACTTACCATAGCACCTTGCTTTTTCAGCGAGATTTGGCCAGTGACCTCTGCATCGAGACCAGTGTCGCTGCTGGCAGGGAACCCGTGACCCCTGCCCTGGGACCCATGACCTCGCTGACCGAGGACCCGCGAACCCTGACCCTTGACATAATAGCTATGTGGCACTGGCCACCGAGCATCTGCCGCGTTCTCTGGCGATCAGGGGCGCCGGAGATTACCCTGCTGTTTCCGATAACAGTTACATATGTGGCGCAGTTGTGACCATCAGCTATTGCGGGAAGCGTATGCCGGTTGTCGAGCACGTGGGCGAACACGCGGGCGTGGTGGAATGCTAGATTACAGGGGCTGATAAGAGCGTCGGCGGCTTTTACTTGTTTTTCTAGATGAAATACTGATAAAAATAGTCCGTTCTCAAGTGTTGGAACGCTTTTTCTTCACCGCGTGAAGTAAACGTATTGTGGTGTGTAAAAAAGCCGGTTCAAACCGCTACATTGGTACTCTCAGTAAAACATGGCATCAGACTTTGATGATAAACACAAGTTCATAATGTATTTCATGGTTTTTAGATGTCAAAACAAGCTTGTAACAGGAAGTTCTCTGTGATCGTGTTTATGTGTCGACAGTCGAACTCGACACCCTTTCCTCTACAGATCCACTCCCCGCCGAACTAATCTGCGACCTATCTAACTGTCCCCCCGCGTGTCCATTCGCAGTTGACGAGCGGAGAAGCAAGTCGGACATCTACTCGTTCGGCATGTGCGCGCTGGAGATCGCAGCGCTTGAGATCCAGGGCAACGGGGACTCAGGCACCCCGGTGAGGAGCGACGCGCCGCGGAGAGAGGAGAGGAGGGAGAGACAGAGGGGCGGAGTGGCGCAGTTTGGGGCCCCTCTAGGCCCCCGTGCCGAGACGCTGATGAGACGTGTGGAGCGGGCTGTCACTATGTTACTTGGCCTCGGGGCGGGCTGCTGTATCCGGTAGAAACTAGACTGAACTGGTCTGAGCTGGCAGAGCCGAGGGGCAGAGGTCCACCGAGGTGGCGGGTTCACATTCAATTGGCCAGCACGGAAGTAGTTCACTTGCCCTGAGAATCATCGAAGGTTTCATGCTTTTACCCTCACTGTGCAAGTCCAGCTTCATCTAGGTTCAAGATGCATTCCTTGCGGGACTTGTGAAATCGTTTCTGGATAGTACGATACACAATGATAAATAAGAATGAAGACCGGTAAACCAAAGGTTGTCTATGCCAGGATTTGAACCCACAACATCGCGTTGATATTCCAGGTGACCAAGGAGAACATCGAGAACACGATCGAGAGTCTGGAGAACGAGGAGCAGAAGGACTTTATCCGGGCGTGCCTGCGTCCCGACCCTGAGCAGCGGCCGACGGCGCGCCAGCTGCTCTTCCACCCAGTCATGTTCGAGGTGCCCTCGCTCAAACTGCTCGCCGCACACGCCGTCGTCAATGACCCCAGTGAGTGGGGAGAGGGAAGGAGAGGGGCTGGACGATCAACTTCGGGAGGTGGGTGAGTTTTTTAGAAGCCGGATGGTGTCACTGATACTCCAGTGAAGATATGGAGAATTTTGGAATCTTCCCCTACGTGTCGAGTGGCGTCTTGGCCAAGAGTGGCTGGTTGAGGGTGCTGGGGCTAGACGCAGCAGTATGTAGGTCCCGCCCCTTCTCCTGAATAACCCGGTCGGTGGATTGGTCCTCCAGCCTGTCCCGTGTTCGTGATGGGCTGTTTTTTTACGGTTGACGCACCCGGCTCCGGCGGCAGACATCGATCGATTATTGGTGACCCGGTCACCCGGCGCCGGCCACCAGCGGTCGATTTGACCGCGGCATGGTGGTGAACTAGTGATGTCCGTCCCGACGGACAGATGGCAGTAGCATCGTCAGAATGGATTCCGCCTCTGGTGGCCGCTCCGCAGGATCGACAAGTTTTTGCCAGTCCATTGATTAATGGCGGTCAGAGTGAGCGCCGTCTATATCTGTGTCCCCATCTGATCATACGAGTAGATTCCCAAAAGTACTGATTTACAGCAGAGTGCCGAGCCGGTAATAATAGAGCCGCTCGCTGCTGTCTGCAGCCCGCGCTCTTTGCGTGATCGGCTGCCCATAACTATTTCACTCGCCAATTTGCTGGCCACACTGCATCCATTCCAAGATAATGACCCACGCTGGCTGCTATATCTGTACCCGTCGTGAGCAGACTGCCACCAATGCCGGTGTTATTTCTGGCCTGACCTCGCGTGGGGAAACGACCCGTGACGCCGTTCCCCGTGTCGTTATAACTCGGAACGTCACGCAGTGTCATCATGACATTATTGTTGGCTCCATTTCGTGACGATTTATTTCTCTCCCCTGCAGACATCAGTCCCGAGGATGCTGAGGTGTACTGTAACCTCAGTCCTGACCTGGTCATTGCCGAGATGCGGCACGAGGGTCAGGAGCCGACCCAGCTGCGGGTGCAGGACGTCACCTCCGCCGAGAACATCGGCAAATTCGTCGAGGACGTCCGGTGAGTGGTGGAGAGAGCAGTGAGGGACGGGGAGAGCGGTGGGAGGTTGGGTTGGACGAGGACGGAGCGGGATGGAAGCGGTTGGCTAAAGAGATTCGGCGAGTTTGGTGATCCCACAAATGCAGGAATCCAAGAATGGGGGCCTGAAGCGAGGAAGGAACGGTCGCCTGTGTATTATTGATATTCTTGTGATCAGTCATTGAGGAACCCTGTGTGAGGAATGTACAGAAAGGAATGTGGTGCCTAGTGCCTAGTTACCGTTGGTTCTGAGCTGTTGCCCGTGTATTGACCTTACCGCTACCTCCCCCTGCCGGACGTGTCACCCAGACCGGGTGTCTCTCCCGGTCCGTACCTTACCTCGCTGACTTCCCTCTCCCCTCTCTAGGGTCGGTATCTACCCGCTGACGGCGTACGCGCCGCCGGCGCCGCCGCCCATCAGTCAGGTGCGGGCCGCCAGTCCGGACACCATCGAGTCCGTGCACTCGGACACGCCCGAGCCGTGCGAACGAGAGGGACGCAAGGTAGTCACCATGATGTGCGAGGTCAAGTCGGACCCGGCGTTGGACGCCAGTCTCACGGTGAGAGACGGGCGGAGAGAGAGAGGGGAGGGGGCGGCTGACGAGAGCTGTTTTCAGGTGACATTCTGCAGGAGGAATGGAGGGAGGGGGCGGGGGATACCGGGGAAGGTTGTGGATACGGTGGTCGGTGCATGGCTCAAAGATACCGTAGCAGCTTCTTTGATCTGATTTTGTTGTGCGCCGGCTCACGCCAAAATATTTTCCTTCTTTGCTTTGAACTACCAGACACTTTTGCAACTTATTTTCATCGTGTCTCTGTGGACTGTGCTGCGCCCTTTCTTGTTGAACGTGATGATTTCAGTTGGCGCTGGCTCGCCGATGGCTTGTCTTTCTCTTTCTGTTGCGTATACACGGTTCGCGCTGTGTCCGGTTCTCACTCAGTTTGATGCGCTTTTGTTGCATACATGTCGCGCCTAATCAATGTTAGAGTATCAACTCGTCGGATTACGATACTGCTAGGAGCGGGACATGAAAGTCTGATCGATATTGAGTGTCTCCGAACGGTTCGGCAGTGTGCCGGTCACTGGTTTCACTCGGCGGCCTTTCGAGCCGGCCCCTCAGCCTCCCTCAGAGCGATTGTGTCATTAAGGCGGCCGCTGCCGAACCGTCGAGCTAATCTTGATATTGCTGATGATGTATTTCATTTCCAGCTTCATTTCGAATTTCCCCTGTGAATTCGATCCCACATTCAGTTCTAGTTGTTTCTTTCCAGTTCTTATTTTTGGTTCAGTTTCATTTGGAACGGCAGAATGGTTTTACCTTTGGTAATTTGCCCGCCATTTGAAGCTATCATCCATAGGTTTTCGAGTTAAAGGCTTCAATAGTGTCTGGTCACCAAGATTCCTGCATTCGTAAAACATTTCAAATCCAGACTGCCAGTTTGCCAACGCCGCTTCATTGGTGTCCTACTTGCTGTGAATCTGCATACCATGAGCTGCTGCCCAGCCCCAGTGTCTCGAGTCTGCTGCCTTTTCTACCTCACAGAAAACGCCAAGCGTGACTTGCGGGCGCATAATACAGCTGTTCGCAAACCGATCATCTACTCAACCCGTGTGTTTGCCCACCTGATGTCCCCTTTGCCGTTCTGTCTTCCCTTTTGCTAGCCCCCCCCCCCTGCAGTTCGCCCCTCTCCGCTCCATATTCTAACCCCCCACCCCCTCCCTACAGTTCGCCTCTCTCCGTCCCATATTCTACCCCCCCCCCCTACAGTTCGCCCCTCTCTGTCCCATATTCTAATCCTCCCCCCCCCCCCTGCAGTTCGCCCCTCTCCGCACCATATTCTGACCGCGCCTCACTACCCCCGCAGCTGGTACTGTTCCTGCGGCTGGACGACAAGACCAACCGGCAGTTGTCGTGCCGACTGGCCCCGGACGACTCGGGCTCCCTGCTGACTGAGGAGCTGGTCCGGCACGGGCTCGTCAACGAGGTGAGACACGGAGCGCCAGGATCATCACTGGGGAGAGGAGGGGTAGCTGGGGGTGATTGCATTCCTAATAAGGTGATTGAAGGCGCCAGGGTTTAGGTTTTATGTTGAAATGAAAGTCGTGATTTTTATTTTTAGTTGGTTTTGTGCGGCCTCCTCCTTACTTTTCATGCAGTAGCTGTGAAGTTGTTTAGAATTTGCTATGACATCGCACATGCATCCCCGTTCCGTCCCCAATCTCCTTCCTGTCGTGATGTGTTGGGACAGTCGGTTCCCTCATTTACGTCGGCCAGCTGCTATTGTAAGATGACGTTCCGCCCTGTGTTGGTCTGAGTTCTATATGTAGCTGACGGTCTTCCCCCTTCCGTCCGCAGATGAACCGCGATGAGCTGACCAAGCTGATCGACGGCCGCCTGCGCGCGCTGCGCACCTCCCAGCCGCCGACACCGGTGGGCGTGAGCTAACGGCCGGCCGGCCGGCGCGCGCCCGCGCCGCTCCGCTCACCCGCCTAGCCTAGAATCTCCCCGCCTGCCGCGCCCGCCCGCCTGTCCGCCCGCTGCGCCGTCTTCCGTGATCCGGCCGCCTGCGCGCGCGCCGCGCGCCGGGTCCAAGCGCGCTGAATTAGCGCGTGTGTGCGTGCGCCGCCGCGGCGGCCGGTTGGCCGGTGCCGACCCCAGGACGGTCGGTGGCCGGCGCCAGGGCGCGTGTATCTCAGGACTGATCATGATGAGCTTAGTGCTACGCTTGGAGCGTATCGGGCGGCAGGCGATGCGCGCTGAATCAAAAGGCTGCGCGGCGCGCGCGTGCGCGCCTCTCCCGCGCCGGGAGCCCAGTGTCTGAGCGCGCCGCGCCTGGTGTGTTTGTACGACGAGAGCGCGCGCGGCGCGGCACCGACCGGCGCCGGCGCGCTCCCCTGCTGTCCGCCCTCTGAGAGGGCCGTGCTACTGCTGTGAGTGCGCGAGCTGTCGCAGCGGCTGGCGGTCAGCGGCCGGCACCGGGCCGTTTTCTACAGTCCTGCCGCGCGGGCCGTACCCCGCGGGCTCCGCCGCCGACCGCCGCCGCCAGCTCGCTCTGAATATTACCATCCGACTGTGCGGCCGCCGAGTCCGAACGGCGCGTCAACTCGTGTGTCATTGAGGGGCCGCTGTCCAATTCTTGTTTCCGCCTCTTGTTTGTGTTCGGGCGCGCCCGCCGAGGCGCCCCCTGCCCCGCTCCAGCGACCAGGCCAGGGTCCCGCCCGCCGGCGACTGGAAGAACGCCCGCCACAACCGAGAGTCAGTACACTTACCGAGTTTTATGTCTGCGAATTTGGTTTGGTATTTCTTTGCATTAAATACTGATCTGGCAAGTGAAAATGATTCCCGGTGGATTTGTCCGTTTTAATCTTTATTTAATGAATACAGAATACAGTTCGGTTCGCGTTGTTGGTATTTTAGTGATGGTTGCAATGTTTACCTACCCTGTTTCCTCATTACAAGGGAGTCAGTGGTTGTGATTGCAGCAGGCAGGATCAAACTGAACTATAAAATTTATTCGGAAGTAAAATTCAATTACAAGCGTAGCGTGGAGATTCTAATTTGACGTGCAGTTTTGTATATTCTTTCCGTTTGTACCAAAATTGTTTACGCTGCTGAGAGTTGTAACTTGGTAACAGAACCGATAGATTCTTCTCATCGTCGTCCATCATCTAAAAAAAAAAGATTAAAAGATTTCGCTAGATGCTTTGGCCTATGATGCATCCCTGAATCCTGATCTCAGGCGTTCAAGCTAGCCAATTTAGTGACAGCGTTTGATCTAGTTGTCTTAATTATTACCGGCTTCCGCGGTGTGGATGTCGACCGACGACCGTTTGAGTTTAGCTGGCATTGAAAAAGTTCATTACTGGTGTCCCAGCTTTCGTTGAGGTGTGCTTTTGTATTTCTTCTTCCTCGGGCAAGCCGCCCTGCAATATTATACTCATCATAATGTAGAGATAGGTTAGGCTTCCATGATCGCACTACAGCAAAAGTCGAAATGTCTAAGAACGGGGGACGCCGCACAAACCTTTTATCCGCGGTGCTGAATGCTAAATGATTTTGGTATTTGGTATTAAGGAGGGTTAAAGGTTACATCAATGTGCCCTTCTTATCTTGAATGTGCTCGTGCTTCACGTGCAAAAATAACCAATTTTTGAATAATAGAAATAACCAGAGGGATTCCCTAGGATCACTAGCGCAATGCAGTGCGACTACACACCCACCCAATATTAATGACCATTATTATGGATGCATCAAAGTATTTATTGTAAGGGCCTCAAAGAACCCCGGTTTAAAACGCAGGCTAGTAGAACCAAATAAATAACAAACTTGAGGCACATGCTCAAATAAAAGCACCAGTCAAAACCAACTCCTGCGTGCAATTATTTAGTAGTTGATAGCCCAATCAGCTGATTTTTCGGAGAAAACCTCTCAAAGCTGCGCAATAGTTACATTCGTGGTGGAAAAGTTTTCCGTGGTTGTTTATCAATTACTTTTGATTTTTATCTCTGGGGTTGAGTGAATAGTCTGATCCTGAGCTTAATTTTTAATCATTGAAGGTAGGTTTCATTGCATTCAATATTTTTCTTCCGATATGTGATGTCATTTCACTCGTTAGTCGTTAGTCATTTGCAATGCAATAAGCTAGGCACATAACGAAGCTGCATTCTTGATTCAGATTAAGCAAGTTGGTTTCTAACCTGGTAGGTAATATTTGTTAATAATAATATTAACAAATATTAATAATAATATTTGTTTTCACCATTCAATATCAAATTAAGTTCCCTACCTGTAAAATTTGACAGTTAAAACTTCCAATATTTTTTTTTTATAAATTTAGTCCGAACCTTTTGATGGGAAGGATTCACAAGGACAGAGCCACCGCTAAGCGAAGCTTGTTGCGATGACCCTGCCCTCTACCCTCCGATCGCGCAATTCCGATTCTATGGCAGAATTTAGAGTCCAAAGTTTAACGTGCGCACAAAGCCGCGCACGGCCGGTCCCCTCGCTGACTTCGCCTGGCTACGGTCTGCCACCAACCGCAACCATACCTGTCAGGAGGCCCATAAATGTCGAGCGCCCGTCGCGCTTCGAACCCGGACTGTCATAAACGGGAACGCGCGCTCTCACCACGCGGCGCGGAGTCCAACGCTCTAACCAGTTGAGCTACGGGACCGGCCAACTGTCCTCTAGTTTTATTACAATTTGTTGTATTTCGAAGCTGAAGTGGTATGGGCATGAAGTTGTTACTTTTAACAATTCCTCCTGTGATATTAAGGTAAATTTTTTTTAGAAGCAGTCACTTATTGAGTCTTCTCTGTAGCTTCATCCATAAACCCAGTTGCCAATACTGTGTTGCGTTCCAGCTGAAAATGGGAGGGGGCGGCCGGCCTTACGAGATTCCTGACTGGAGAAAGTACAAGGTGGAAGACGCCCCAGAGCTGGTCAATGTGCGAAATGCCTTGGCTCAAAAGGGGTTGAAGGATCCATGGCTGAGGTAGGTTGAGGTGGCTAGTAGCTAGGTACCTAATTAGTTATCATATGTTTATCATAGTAAACATATTATCATATGTTTGGAGTTATATAAAACATAACTATCATATGCTTTATATAACTCCAAACAATGTGCAAAGATAGATTAGAGGTACACTATCCAGTTCACTTGCTGCCTGTGGCTGTGCCTATCTATGCTTAACAAAATCTCACTGATGAGCTGGACAGTGCCTCATTTTAGCAGGTATCTTGATTTGAGTTTAAAGCCACCTATTCAATGACATAGGTAACTGCTTAACTTGTAAACAATTGTGAATCAGTTGCTGTGATGTTTCTACTTTAATAGAAAAAATCAACTTTCAAATAATTTTGATCCATTGGTAGATTGCTAAACATGAGTATCCAGATATGCATGGTAGATAAACTAACTACAACTATGTATCTGTATTTTGAAGCCATATTTGTGGGTACTTATGGTTAGTAAGTAGTTGCTTCATCACATTCCTTTTTTGTCATGCTCTCTAAGGTAGCTTGACTATTTGTTTACTCATCTGCATAGATCTTCCAGCTGCTTCCAGCCAGTCTTTCTTTCTGCTGAGCATTTATCAGCACTTATGTGAAGCATCCTCTCATGCTTTTTTTCATTCATTTTCACTATGCATCCTCAGGAACGAGGTGTGGAAGTACGACCAGAAGATGTTCCTCAAGCCCAACGAGCGGATGACGCGGTTCTTTTTCCGCGGCTTCAAGTACGCGGCGGCAGCGATGGTGGTGACCATTGCGGCCGACAAGCTGGGTCTGCTCGGCTCCAGCGATCACGGTCACGGTCACCACTGAGGGACGGGGAGGTACGGCCGCCGGGGAGGGAACGCAGCTGAGCGTCAGGACAGATGGAAACTGGAAACTTGAGGACAGCAGGCTCTCGGTCAAAGGAGGTCTACAACCATAACCGGAGGTCCTGAGGTGTGGAACAACCAGGATGAAAGAGAAAGATCTTCGTAGGGGGACTGCTTGGTTCAGAATGTTGGTTCGGCTCCAGGCAAATAACGATCATGTGTGTCTTCTCCTCTGATATTTCTCGACGCCCGGTTGAAGTATGATAATGTAAAGCGCCTACTCCAGTGTGGACAGCCGCTGGCACAGTGTGGCTGAGACGCTGTGGACCGTCACTGATGTACGTAGTCATACATTGACCATGTGTAAATATAGCGAGAGACTGTGCGACAAATGCCTGTGCGAGATGACCCTGGTACGGAATATCATGGGGAACAGAGACCTGAGAGTTACGGGAAGTGTCGATAACACCGGCTGAAAGATATCGCAGCTAGGAGATCGTGGGGTGAGCCGCAGGAGAAGGCACTACTTGTGTTCCGTAGCCAATTTCTTTCCCGCAATTTTAACTAACGGCACTGGTCTCCACTCTCCTACCCAAGGCCACCGTAGTAAAGTAATCTTGAGGCCACCTACCTATGTTTTGAACTGATCATGGCTCGTTGTGCAATATTCAGACGCCTTGGCTCGGTATCTTGTGACGTCACAAACACACCGGTAGCTGTGACAGCGTGACCGATAACTTTAAAGGTGAAACACGACTCATTGATCCTTTGTAGTTCCTATCCGGGCACGGTTATCTTTTTCAGGAATCGAAGATTGGACTCGGTACCTTCTACAATCTTACCTCATGCTTTGTACATGGCGTAAATAATCAAGTAAGTTCCATTGCATTGTCGGCTCGTTCCACCTTTACAAGTAAGCTCGTTCCTATTTCTTCGTCACCCTATGATACTGAATTATTCGAGCCTGACAGCGGACTATGTTTTTCCATGAGTTAGATCAGATCACAGATGTGAACCAGCTGTCTGTTCCACGCTTTACCGCTGACCTTTACTCTGCGGCCCAGCGCGGCGGTCTTGGGACGAGTCACTCATTTCTGCCAGCCAGTACCTTGTCCCAACTCGACGGTACCCCGCGCCGGTAGGTGGCGAGTCACTGTTTCCGTCAGTTGGCTAATTGGTGACTGGGTGTCTTGGGCTGAGTTGTTCTATTTCTCAGTCAAAAACGGATCGACGAAATTTCTGGTACATTTTAGCGAGAAATGGGGTAACGGTTAACCGGAAGTTGCGTTTTGAAGGAGCGGAAAAGCGGTTAACGAAGCTACAATTTAAAACAACGATGCCCACCACCCACAACTGTGTTGCCGAGTCACCGTGAGGCGATCGATGACTATTCATTGTTCAGTCCACGCTCGTCCTTGCCGACCCCACAATCTACGTTGTCTCTCCGATAATGAGTCAGCTGTGTGGACAGCGATATGGACGGCGGCCACCCTGCTGCCGACAGCCAGCGGTCACTCTCGGTCGGAGCTCAGCGCTGAGCGGACCTGACGCCGCAAGTGTCGGTGAGGGGTGACCACCGCGCAGTGTTCTGAGCCGGATCCGCGATGGTCGCGCGGTGGATCGTCCTGTTGGCGGTGGCGCTGGCCTCGGTCTCTGCCGAGCAGGGACCGCGTCAGCAGCTACTGCAGCGGCTGCCCGACCTGTCGTGGTCGCGTCTGTCGGCGCTGGAGCGCCTGGTGGAGACGAGCGGACACCTGTCCACCGAGGAGCTGCTGCGGCGCACCGGTACCCTGGAGCTGTACCAGGCCCTGCCGGAGGCCGACGGACAGCTGGACCGGCTGAACCTGCTGATCGGCCTGCTGATCGGACCGTACATCACCCCGCTGGCCGCCTTCAGAGAGATCTCTCCGCTCTGCCGCCAGCACAGCTGGCAGTACGTCACCAACATCCTCGGCATCAACAACACCTGGGCGCTGATGATGTTCGACTCTGTCGGCAAACTGCCCGACGGCATCTTTGCTGGCAACACAAACCCGGTTGGCATCTGGGACGAGTGTCTCAACGTGGAGGCAGTCATTGACGGTATCTGTGAGGAGGATCACATGTTCAAGGGCAAGTACTGCAGGCCTGAGTTCGGTTTGCTGACCAACGCGTCCGAAGATGGCCAAGTCCAGCACTCACTGGCTGAGCTACACAACTGGTCTCCGGATCCCAGCGGTCTCGGCATTGAGCCGATTTTGCCGCCGCTGATCCACGTGTCGGGTCACACGGTGCTCAGCCAGCTGATAGTCTCTGTGGGGCTCTGCATCCCCTCCTCGTGCTCCGCCGACGAGCTCAGACTGGGCCTGGAGAAGAAGATGCCCGGGGTGGCGGTGACGCTGCCCGACGGCAACTGCCATGTTCTGGACCAGGAGACCACCTTCACCGGCGGCGACATCGCCGTCATGACGATCCTCTGCGTCGTCGGACTTCTGATGATCGTGGGAACGTTCATCGACGTTGTGAAGGAGAGCGCCGCCGAGGATGGCGCCACCGTCAGCGTCGTTGTCGATTCCAAGTTCAGGGCGCGAATGCCGTCGACACTTCAAAAGGTTTTTCTGGCGTTTTCTGTGTGGACCAACGGCAGGAAGCTGCTCGACACATCCAGTTCAAGTGACACACTTGGCTGTCTCCATGGCATCCGTTTTCTTTCAATGACGTGGGTTATTCTTGGTCACCAATATGTCTTTGGCCTTACAGTGCCGTGGGCGAATTTGTTCTATATTTTTGATGTGTTTAACTCCCTGGCTTTCGCAGCTGTTGATAATGCCACTGTGTCTGTTGATTCCTTCTTCTTCCTCAGTGGGCTTTTGGTAGCTTACATTTTCATGAGGAACATGGAGCGGTCCAAAGGCAAGTTCAACATCATCATGTACTACGTACACCGGTATATACGTCTCACTCCTGTTCTTGCAATGGTTATAGCCTTCGTCTCTACACTATACAGACACATTGGAAACGGTCCGTTCTGGAGCAACATCGCTGAGAACGGCACGCCGGAGGTTTGCAGCGAATACTGGTGGAGGAATTTGCTCTACGTCAATAACCTGTTCGATCCTCAGGAGCTGTGCTTGGGCCAAACGTGGTACCTGGCCAACGACATGCAGATGTTCATCGCCTCGCCAATCGTCCTGCTGCCGCTCTTCTTCTACCCGATACTGGGCCAGATCTGGCTGATGTTCCTCATCGCGCTCAACGTGTTCGTCACCGGCTACGTGACTGCCTACAACGACCTGGGTCCTCAAGATAACGGCAACAACGCGACTCAGCTGCGCTACTTCATGCCGTACTGTCGTTACGGCGCCTATCTTGTGGGCGTTTATACGGGCTATTTCTTGCACGTCCGCCGCCGCTGGCCGCTGGAGCTCAGCCTGCCGGCCGTGCTGGCCGGGTGGACCGTCTCTGCGCTCACTGCCTGCTGCATCGTCTACGGCATGTACGAGTACTCCACGGTCCCGGCTCTCGCAGTACCGTCGCGTTCGGTGGCGATCATATACGGCTCGATGAACCGGCCCGTGTGGGCTATGTGCCTGGCCTGGGTCGTCATCGCCTGCGTCCACGGCTACGGCGGGTTCATCAACACATTGCTTTCGTGGAAGTTCTGGATTCCGCTCAGCCGGGTAACCTACTGCTGTTACCTGGTCTCCATTGATACGCAAGTCTTCTTTTACGCCACGCTCAAGTCGGTACTCTACTTTGACCAGACGAATGCCGTTTACCAGTTTCTGGCGACGCTGTGCATAGCTGTAGCTGTTGCAACCGTCTTCTCTCTGGCATTTGAGTCGCCGATGCTGGCGCTGGAGAAGATCATCTTTGCCAACGTTGGCACAGGCGCGCCTAAAAAGAAACCAGTGGAGCCGGAGCCGGTGGCGTCCAAGCCAGAACTGGAGACAGAACTTGCGGATGGGTCGCCACAAGAGGAAGTGGAAAATAACTCCAGCTAGTTCCTCACTGATTCTTGCCATGTTATCGAGTGTTATATAAGTATAGTGAATTTGTGTTTGTTGAATTATTCATGAATGGTGAAGTTTTAAAGGTGTTAACATTATTTAGGTTTGATTTATAATCATGGATCACAAATTTGAAAGAAGTTTTGTTTGTAAATATGTTATAGGTATATCGCTGTCACGATGTTGTCACGGGTCATCTCATGCAAATAAATATCGTTTGGAAGGTTATGAATACCTAAACAGGTTCTGTCATAATCTGGTTTTGAATTTATTTATTTATTATTTAATTATTTTTCGGTTCACCTGATAACCACAAACAAGTGGGCATTACGACGGGAACTGGGAAAAGCACACTGCGCAGATAAATCATAAAAACACTGCCTCGCATTGTTTGCACATTTCATATAACAACATATTTGAGGTTAATTGCAGAAATGTGACTAGCGGATTAGCAACAACTTACATGTAACGCTCGCCCTTAGACCATCAAAACTACACACAGTAGGAACTAGGGATCTTGACAAGGACGAAGTTATTCAAATAACCTTACCCAGTAGGTACCTACCTGTATCTGAACACTTAACGACTAAATCGCTTACTCAAATCGCTAACCTGATCAGTCAAGACTCCAGCAACGAGTGGGTATGACAAATGACGATCCCTGCGTTCCACAACATAGGTTATTCACAATCAAATTTTCACCTTCGGCAACTTATCACAGATTCACCAGCCACTCAACGTCCTCCGATCCATAAAGCCTTCCGCCCTTGGACTTCCATCACGATTCTTCCCTGAACGTCGTGTATGTAGGTACCTACTGGCTACTACCTACTATGTCTACACTGCGCGCAAGGCCGTATAAAGACACTGCACGCACACGCCGGCTGTTGGCCGCCAAAACAACTATCGCCATATCGGCCAATGGTAACGACTGATTATGCTAAAGGTCACGACCACTGTACGTGTTGAGGTGCATTTAGAATTTGTATTAAAATAAAACATCAAAAGTATATTATGTCCAGCTTAAACAGCTCAGGGTGATTAATTCAGTTTTTGTTCTTGGCTGATTTTTAGTTATTCGTATAATGCAATGCCGGTGCGGACTGTGGCTTCCAGTGCCTCAGCCACGCTTTCCACCTGAGGCAGGGAATCTTGGGTGGTATCTTGCGGTGGCCACCCAGCCATGCAGAAGCACGGAAAAGGATGGAGCTACGTGCCGGCTTTCTCAGATCCAAAATATAAGCAATCGTCTTCTGCCCTGAGTTAGGTAGATACATTCAGGAATGGAATGGAGAGCACAGTTCTCATCCCCGTCTTCGCACCACACAGTCTACGGTAAACGGACGTGATTTTAATTTTGGTGTTGGTCAGAAGAAAACAATTTGTATTTTTGGACTACCCATTGAATTATCAGTAGGTAAACAATACGTTTAATAGTAGCAATCTCCGAATGCTGACTATTGGGTTTGAACTTTGAAGTTGAACGAATTATGTTCTAACATAAAATATGTATGTGACCTTAAAGGGACCCTCCCACCTTCAAAAAAGTTAATGAATTGGCATGAAAGTGATGTCGTTCGGTTCAGAAAGAGCAAAAACGAATATCTACCAAATTTCATCGAAAAATATTCACCGGTTTTCAAGATATTAGACTTTTACTTTTGTTTACTTTTTGGGATCTCCGCTGTTCCTAGCGACTTTATTTGAAAGTGCGGCATTTGTTGCGCGCAAAGCAGCATATACCACCGCGTGCTACAAAACGTTTTAGTCAAACATTTAAAAATCGTTAGATATCTGCGATGACGTCACACATTCAGAGGGGTATTCCTATGCATTAGCCCCTCTGAATCAAAATGCTGCAATTTTGAAATTCAATATTTCCGATTTAAGGCATTTCTCGATGTTGTGAGTGCCGAAAACGGTAATTGTGAGCCAGGGACCCCATTTTGGCTATCTCAACTCAAATCTAATGTTAAGGTGGGAGGGTCCCTTTAAGCCGGCGACTGACGCCACTGCCAGCCTCTCAAATGTATACTTACGGATCTACTCATATCAACACATCATGCTTGTAGGTATATAAATGTAGGTGAAATGCTCTTGAAAGCAAAACCTTTATCTAAACGTATCACGAAGCTGAAGCTATGGGACTCTGTATATCACGGCAGCGTGCTGAGTCAACACGGGGTCGGAGGGGGGAGGGGGGCACGGGAGACGCACAGAGGACCACGCGCGCCGGTCAAAGGTCGCGATAAATGGCCACCTATCTCCGGCCCACGGTCACTACAGTTGTCGACAAGTATCATCACACGTTGCGTAATTGTGTATGTACCTGTTTCATAGTGAGGTAGGCAGTATTGAATTGGTGAACGAATGAATCGACTTGTGTGTGCATAAAACATAGCTGCGTAGGTACAGTTTCCACGGGCTTTAGGGGTAGGGGAAAGTGGGTGTATTGCGCCCTCCTAACCAATTGCGCCCACCAACATTCCCACGAATTCAATGGCATGTTTATAATTTTGTGTTCGAAAACAATATTTTCACCACTTGATAGTTCATTTTATGGCCCAAGCTCTCCGACGAAGCCAATCAGCAGGGCTCAGTTACGCCATCAAAGATATTACGGCGTTTTCTTAGCTTTTTTGCAGTATTTTGAACCGTTGGCTATAAAAATCTGTGATACGTGTGTGATTTTCAGAGTGATATTTAGAAAGAAAGCCCATTTTTTAATTATATTTCACTTAAACAGTAAACTTCCTTCAGCATATTTATGATAACTTCTACGCTTTTATTAAAAAGTACCTCAATTCTAATTGCGCCCATGGCAATTGCGCCATGGAGGCGCAAATAGAATAATGGTGTAGCTTTTGTATCACGACAGTATGAATGCACCATTAACTGATTGCAATAAAGAAGGAGTTTAATGCCAGGCAGGGGAGCAGCCCGCTGTCGCCAGTCCGCAAATTATTTCTCTCGTCAAACTTATAATGCAGCTGCCATTTAGGCTGACAACTTGTGGTGTAATTGACAAAATACGGCATTTTCAACATGGACTCCGGCGTGAGAGGTGACAGCTATGATCAAAAAGTAAAAACTGATGTCAACAAGTTGTCGAAACGATAAAAATTAATAATTTTGAGAGAAACGATTGAAAATTTAACCATACTTTCACATATATCTAGTCGGTTACATAAAACGTTTTCGTTGCACTTTTACAAACATACGGACACATGTAAAGTTATTTACCTGGGCAAAAAACATCGCTATTTATATCTACATTTATTATTTATCCAGCCTGATTAACATTATAAATGTTTAAGTAAGCCGCAATGACATTACACTGCCGGGGTGTATGCATTCCGTCGCATTCGCTTAGCCATGTTTAAGTATAGGGCGCAATTTGATTCTAATTGTGCCATCCCCCTGGCGCAATTTACAGCAGCTGTCGGTAAATGCGCCCTTTTGCATGTTTCTGAAAAGCAGCTGTCGGAAGCAAACGAAACATTCTTAATTGATCGGGAGGCTCTTAAATCGTAGCTAATGAGTTCCTCTTTGAAGTGGTTACCATTGCATGCTTATATCTCCAGCGGTTTTCTTACAATTAGCGTTTTTCCTTAAGGTGGCGCAATTCACCCTCCTTCCCCTACCTAGGTTTGCCGTTATTAGATTTATTAAATTTCCGGCAATGTCTTCTTCGTATTAAGCGTTTTAGGGTTGAAGATGCGATTAATTTATTGGTAGGGTAGCCTGGGGCAAGACGCCCCAGATAATTTATTTTGCTACATAAATGTTGTCCCACATCACCTGGAAGGCCAAATTTGTGCTCAATGCGTTCTTTGGACATTTTACTTTAAATTGCACCCCTCAAATTCATTCACTTATGATCGGACTCCAAGCTAGGAAGTGATTTGTGAAGCAACTGCAAATGGGGCATTTTGCCCCAACCCCAGGGCAAAACGCCCCACGGCCTGGGGCAAGTAGCCCCATACTTTAGATTACAAATTTAGCATGGTAGTTGGCTTAATCTTATGTGAGAGGTCCGTTAGACCTCTGGAGGCACGGCTCTGAAGTTAGCACATTCCATCCTGTCAGGTGTTCAGCTATGACACTATTGTATGAGCAGGTTTTTCACCTGCCTCATAAGACCAAATAATAAATTATTGCAATGCAAATGTTTACAGAATACTTCCTTTGCCATCCAGTTGATGAGAAAAATACACATAAAGGCATAGAAACTTACTGTTCGCCAGCTACCGAACATTAGAAAGTGGGTAGCCCGAACAACACATGAGGTAAAACGCCCCATGGGGCTTTTTGCCCCGCGACCTACTGGGGCGTTTTACCCCATCACGTAGTTCGGTCAGAGAACAACGCTTTGCACTCCAGCAAGACATGATTTAACACGAACCAACCCGGCATGATAAGCGTTAGACAATAGTTGTTCAAAATACATAAAAGTCGTTAACCTGATGTGGACCATAAAAGAACGCCATGATGCATAATCTGACAACAAAACATAAAAATCACTCAAAAAACACATTTTTGGCTATATCTCCCGAAAGAGTCATCAAAATTTCTTTCCAGTCTGCTCATATAATGTTTATATAGTGCACGTTTTGTAGAAGAGAGGATGTTTCCCCAGAACTCTGCCAGTTCCGAGAAACATCGGTGAGGCGTTTTACCTCGGCGGGACGACTTGCCCCGGTCTACCCTACACATGTCTGCCATGATCATTTAAAATGGCTTCATCGTTTACCGATTAGTTTCTGTCTGAGATATAGCCGGAAAAGTGAAAAAAATTAAAAAAGACAAAACATACCGCTAAACCATCGCGAGACCTGTACCAACATAGGCACGTATCTTTTTATATCTTCCTGTTTTTTTTTTTTTTTGAATTTGTGACCGACTTCGCCGTATCCTACCTATTGTTTCTTGAAGCTTCACTCGGGCCACTAAAGAATCACTTATCACTATATGCCACCATGGGGCCGTATTCA